ACAACCCCTGGGACCTCCCCCCCTTTCCTTCACTGGAACCCCCTCCCCCTGCCCCCCACGCTCCAGGACGTTCCCCCCCCTTGCGGCCTCGATTACGATGTTGCTCGATTTTTCTTTGGTTGGGACGTTTGACGAGGAGGGCCCACGGACAGGGACAGGCGGGAGCGGTGACGACGACGACGACGACGACGACGACGACGACGACGACAACGAGGGCGACTCAAACGGGAAAGCCTCTCACACATGCCTACTGGGACAGGGTCGGCGGATTATCTTTTGCCCCCCTGTCCTCTCCCGAGCACACTTCTCCTCCTCCTCCTCCTCCTCATCCTGCTCTTGCTCCTTATCTTCAGCCTCCTCTTCTTCTCACCTTCCAAGTTTCCGTGTCTTCATCTTCGCTCGCAGAAGGCTGTGCGTTGCGCGGTTTGGGCGTTTGGAGTTTGAATTTTACAGGGGCGTGGAGGTTTTTTGCCCAGAATCATTGAGGATAGCACGTCATGCAGAGAGCGTGGTTGATTCAATGACAGAAGCTGGGTTAGCTGACATCTGCACAAAGGTAGAGCCCAGTTCAGCCCGTCGAAGATCCCCCCGACAGCATCGATTCTGATCCAGAGTGGCTACGAGAGGGAGGAAGAAGGCGAACACGGAGGCGGGGGGGAGGGAGAAGGGTGGAAGGCGGATGCGGGATGGAGGAGGCCCAGGTGGAGGAACAGGAGGAGGATCACGACGACGATGTCAAGGAGGAGGGTGAGGAGGAGAAGAAGGATGAGCAGGAGGATGAGTAGAAGGCATGACCAGCACATGTCGGGTCCTTGGCTTGTGTGGGATAGGGCTGGACCTACACGATTGACATGCGGCAGTACCTCCAGCGCAACAGGAAGACCGGAAAGGACACTGGGCGGAGGGGGTCGTCGGTACACCCAGTTCGTGTCTTTTGTCTGAACAGGGCGTATGACTTTCGCCAGGCCTTCAGCATGCAGTTCCCTAGCACATGTCGGCGTGACGCTCGCCAGCTCGTGCTTGAGCTGTCTGTTCCCAGCGAGTGGTCATGGTGTTCATTGCGGGCTCCAGCATTTCCGACTGCTGTGACAAAGCGAGGGCACCAGAATGAGGAGACGAGGGGAGAAACATCGAATGCAGGGAGAGGTGCAAATGGCGTCAAGGAGGTGGACGGCGAGGAGACGGAGGAGGGTAAAAGCGGGGCCTCCGGAAAGGGTTCAAGCACCGGCAGCGCGATCGCGTGACATGCAGGAGGTTACGCAGGAAGAGGCGGAAGCACCAGCAGCGCGATCGCGTGACATGCAGGAGGATTCCGAGGGAAGAGGCGGCAATGCAGAGGGCGGGGAGGAGGCTCTCGAGGGGGTGCGGGCACCGGGAGGCGGAGGCAGGAGAAGGGATCGGGCGCCCGCGGCAGGGGGAAGAGGTGACGACGTGGAGCGGAGGGGGCAGGAGCGGAGAGGAGGCTGGGTACCCAGACCATCTAGTGCCGCAGCCTCGTGCGCCGGCGCCCCACCGCCGCGCGCACGAGCTGCCTCCTCGTGGCGGCCACAGGCTTGCCGCACGTCTGCCACGCAAGGGCACTGGCGCGCTCTCTCTCTCTCTCTCTCTCTCTCGCTCGCTCTCTCGCTTTCGAGCGTGGCCCCCCGAGGCGAGTTCCCACCCTGGCCCCCGGGGGCATGTACTTTGCGACGGGGGCCTCAGCGGGAAGGCTGCGCTTGGGATGCGCTGGCCGCGCCAGGCCGCTTTCTGGGCGCCCTGGAGGGATAGGCTGCGCGGAAGGGTGGTCTTCGACAGAGTGAGCGTTGGTTTAAGTCGGGCCTGTCCCTCCACAGGGGGGAATATTCAAAGATTGTCAAAAATAGTCTGGGGACTATATTTTGAGTATTTTTGGGCATCTTTGGAATATTTTGGGGCATTTCTTATTTTTCGTCGAAAATCCCCCTGTAGGGGGACACGCCCGACTTAAGCGTCGGTGCGCGACCCCGGGGCCTCCTCCCAGCACTCCCCCCGCACCAGGGTGCGCGATCTGACCAAGCCCTCCCCCGCGGCCCTCTGCAGCGCCGCACCACGGGTCACTCTTGCGCCCCTGGGGTCGCGCCTGCGCGCAGCCGAAGGAGCGCCTCGAGGGGCCGCGGCGGCGAGGGAGCAGGCCGCGGGCCCCCAGCGAGAGGCCGCCCGCGGGGGCCGCCCGCGGGGGCCGCGAGGACCAGCCGCGCCCCGCGGCCTCGCGGGCGGGGGGCTCCCAAAGCGGGGGCGGCGCCGCTGGCAGCAGGGGGTGTTCCGAGGGCGTCCGTGGGCGCCCCGCCCACCAGGCGGGGAGCGAGCATCCGCCGCCCGCTCGCGCCGACTGCCTGCGCGGACCCCCGTGGCATCCCTCCCCCGCCCACGGGCTCACTCCTCCGCGGGGCGCGGGGGGGGGGGGGGGGGGGGGGGGAGGAGGAGGAGGAGGAGGAGGAGGAGGAGGAGGAGGAGGAGGAGAGGAGGAGGAGGAGGAAGGAGGAGGAGGAGGAGGCGGAGGAGGGGGGGGGAGGAGGAGGAGGAGGAGGAGGAGGAGGAGGAGGAGGAGGAGAGGAGGAGGAGGAGGAGGAGGAGGAGGAGGAGGAGGAGGGGAGGATGAGGAGGAGTAGGGGGAGGGGGAGGAGGAGGAGGAGGACGACGAGGAGGAGGAGAGGTGGAGGAGGAGGAGGAGGAGGAGGAGGAGGAGGAGGAGGAGGAGGAGGAGGAGGAGGAGTGGGGAGGAGGAGGAGGAAGGAGGAGGAGGGCTGGGGGGCAGCCTGCGGCAGCGCCGAGGCCGGCCGCGCCTCTGCGCCTCGGGGCGGCGCGCGAGGCGCGGAGGCCGGGCCACGGCGGCCCAGGCCGCGCGGCCTCGGGCGCGCGGCGTCGGGCGCGCGGCGCCGCCTCGCCCGCCGGCAGCTGTGCGGAGGGGGATGGCGGGCGGCGGCGCGCGCCGCAGCGGCCCCCGTCGAGCCAGCCGAGATGTGGCGGCCGGACGCTTGCCACGGCTCCCTTCGGGTGTTGCCAGAAGTGCCCTTGTCCCAGGGTGTCACTGAGGATTTCCAAGGAGGCCCCCCCATGGGGGAACGAAGAATGGCATGAGCACAACAGCTCGGAGGTGTCCGCGCGGACCTCCGAGTTTTTTCTGTACATGTCATTCTTCGTTCCCCTACCCCAAGGCCTCCAGAGCACCCCTCAGGAGGCCCAGAGGGCCCCAGGGGCTCCAAAATGGAGCGACAAGCTGGGGGCACCTTGGGCCAGGTGCACTTCTAGCAACGCCCGAAGACTCTATTCATGGGAGCCCAGGATATTTCTTGTTTGCTGACGGCCAGGATCTGGTGAAGCTCGTGGCCTTGAGCCGGTCAGGGCCTCTCTGGGGGCGCCTGGGCCCCCCGAGCACTTCACGGTTCCTGCGACGCGCCGTGTCGGCTTGACGCACGCTCATCCGCGCTTCCGCGCGTCCAGAGGCAGCGCTCGCACTGGAGGTGCTGGCAGCAGCCCCTCGGCTTCGACGAGCGCGCGCGGCCACTCGCCGCGAGCCTCCACCTCCTCGAACAATCAAAGGAGGAGAAACTTGACGAATAACCAAACAACACCACCCGCATACGACCCGCCGTGTTGATTTGTTGCGACCCCGCCGCACACTCGTTTCGGAGATGCTTGAACTTTCAAAACCGCTGGGTCATATGTGGGGTGGTGTCGTTTCGCTGCTAGCCCAACATCCACCCCGACCCCACATAACAGGCTTGCCCTTTCGATCCCTTCGTTGGGTGCGCTTCCTGAAGGCTTTGCTTTTCGTGGTGCTCATGCTCTGTACTCTGAGCACGCCGGCGACCCAACCATGCAGCTCTGAGTGTATCAGGAGGGGAAAAAACACACAGACACAATTAATCGCCCACTCCCCAGAAAATATGGGAAAATATGGGAAGTGGGGGAGTGGGGGGGGGGAAAACAAACACCCAGAAAATATGGGAAAATATGGGGGATCCTTTTATTTGTGTGTATTTATTTGTGTGTCCCAGGGCCCCTTCAACGTGGCCGTTGCCTCGTCGTTGCCTCCAGCCGAAGAAGGAAGCGCACTGTACAACCGCTGTCGAGCCTGACCCCTGCGGGTCCAGTCGGCGCTGCGGTATCAAGACACCCCCGCTGGGGTTCACTTGGTTGCGTGCATCCTTCAAGCTCTGATCCCAGCTGGTTTTCCCAGAAATTTGACCTGCTAGCGTGCCGTTGCCACGGAAGGGGGGCCAGGTCCAGCGACGATCCAATTTGTTTGTGGGAGGTTTTGGAAGTTCGTGTCTCCGCCGTTTCCTTTACGCCATCTGCGCCGCATGGTCTGGCGTCGCCGTCGTGGGATGCCGACTGGCCTTGTCGCCGTCGTCGTCTCGCCTCGTCACCGTTGCCCCTGCGCCTTCATGTCGACCGTCACTGTCGCTGACTGGCCCCGTCGCCGTCGCCCGTTCGCCGTCAGCTTGCTCACGTTTGTTTCCGCATGCTTCTTTGCGCCGACATTTGCGCCTAATTGCAGGGGTCCACTCCTAACTATCTCCAACTGCTTCAGCATCGTTGCTGATATTTCGGCTTGCTTCCAGATGCTGCCACTTGCTTCCATTCGCATTGCACTTGTTCTGGATTGTTACACATTCCTTTCATTGTTTGGGAACCACGCGCTCGTATCGTTGATTGCGTTCTCAGTGGTGGTATCACACGTTGCTCGTCGCCTCGCAGCCCGCTCGAACCAGCCCCACCAGGTAAGTAGGAGGACCAGGACAAGGGCTGTGGATAGAGGAGGAGGCGTGGAGGAGGAGGAATGTTGAGGAGGAGTAGGAAATGGCGAGGAGGCGGCTTTGGTGGCGGAGAGGCGGATGAGGAGGAGGAGGAAGATGAGGACGGTGACGACGAGGACGCCGTCGGCGACGGCGGCGGCGGTGGAGGCGACGACGCGGACGACGTCGGCGACAGCGGCGGCGGCGGCGCCGTGGCCCGCGGGCGGCATCTCCACCGGCCCGAGCCGCCGAGCGGGGGGGGCGGCCGCGCACGAGCCGCGGCTCGCGCCGCGCGGCGGGCACGGCCACAGGCAGGAGGGGGGGGGGCGGGAGGAGGGGGAGGAGGATGGGTAGGGGGAGGAGGGGGAGGGGGGGGGGGACAGGTAGGAGGGGGAGGGAAGATGGGGATGGGGACGGGGAGGAGGACGGGGATGATGCGGAAGAGGAAGGGGAAGAGGAAGAGGAGGATGATGATGATGCATCGATGAGGGTGACGAGGGTGATGATGATAATGATGATGATGATGATGATGATGATGATGATGATGATGATGATGATGATGATGGTGATGATGAGATGGTAGGTTATGCTGATGATTATGATGCTGATTGTGGTGGTGATGATGAGGGTGATGGTGATGATGAGCATGATGACGGTGATGCTGGTGATGAGCATGATGAAGATAATGAGCATGACGAAGATGCTGATGATGATGACACTGATGACCGAGATGATTGTTATGATGATGGTGATGGTGATGATGATGGTGATGGTGATGATGATGACGATGATAGTGATGATGATGATGATGACGATGATGATGACGATGAAGATGATTGTGGTGGTGGTGATGATGATGCTGATGATGATGATGATGATGATGATGATGATGATGATGGTGGTGACGATTACTATGCATATGATTCAGTCAACCCGCATAGTACGGATGAGCGACTGCCCCAGGTTACCCTTGCATCCTTCCCCTTCGGCCCATTCTCGGCCGCTTTTGCTGGCCTCACCCCGCTCACAAAGTGTCGGCATGGCCTTCCAAGGCCCTTGCTTCCTACGGGTTGACTGCACTGATAATGGTGCGGCTGATGACGGTGATCACGCTGCTGCGCATGTTGATGGTGATACTGTTGAGGGTGATGGCGATGACAGTGAGGATGAGGATGCGGATTGAGATGACGATAGCGAGGATATTGATTGTGATCGTGATGGAAATGATGATGATGACGGTGCCGATGGGTGATGGAGTGATGGAGATCGTGATGGTCATGATGATGAGGATGAGGGCGGTAATACTGATGTTGATGATGATAATGATCAATATGATGATTCGGATGAGGATGATGATGAGAATGATGATGTTGAATACAATGATGATGATGATGCTGATGATGATGATGATGATGGTGATGGTGATGGTGATGGTGATGGTGAAGTTGATGATGTTGAGGATGTTGATGAGGAGGATAACGAGTTCATGATCATGATGATGACGCCGATGCTGCTGATGGTGACGATGATGATCATGATGGTGATGGTGGTGCTGATCATGCTGATTTTTATGTTGATTGTGATGATGCTGATGCCGATGATCATGTTGAAGATTAAGATGGTAGATTATGCTGATGATTATGATGCTGATTGTGGTGATGACGATGATGATGTTGATGCTGGTGGTGATGATTATGATGAGGATGAGGATGAGGATGATGATGAGGATGATGATGCTGATGCTGATGCTGATGCTGATGCTGATGCTGATGCTGATGCTGCTGCTGCTGCTGCTGATGATGATGATGATGATGATGATGATGATACTGTTGTTGGTCTGGGTGATCATGATGATTACGTTAACGATGAGAACGCTGATGATGAGGATGATTGTGGTGGTGATGATGATGCTGATGATGATAATCACGATGGTGGTTGTGATGATGATGATGATGATGATGATGATGCTGATGATGCTGATGATGATGATGAGGAGGAGGAGGAGGAGGAGGAGGAGGAGGAGGAGGGAGAGGAGGAGGAGAGAGGAGGAGGAGGAGGAGGAGGAGGAGGAGGAGGAGGAGGAGGTTGATGGTGTTCGACGTTTCGACGTTGGTGGTGGTGGTGGGATGGGATGACCGCTCCGCCCGGTCGCCCTCGCGCGCCCCCGGGGCGGGGAGCGGCGAGGCCGGCCTTCGCCTGCCGCGCTCGAGGCCTCCGGGATGGGGTCCGAGCAGGTCGGGCCACGCTCGGGGGCCCCCAAACGGTGCGGTGAGTCGAAAGTGAGCCTGGTAGCTCAAATATGGCATATAGCCTGGCAAATTGCGTCCATCGCTCTGCTGTGAAGGTACAGTATGAGGGGTGGACGGATAAGATAGGATAAGATCGATGTAATGATCTTTCCAGCACATAGCGAACACTCGCGGTGTCCGGGCAAATAGGGCGCGCGTGCCTTGGGCCAAAGGCAACGGCGCGCGCGAGCTATGCTCCCGATACTATAACATCTCCCAAAGACCTACCCTTAAAGTCGGGAGGGGAGGAGACGGAGAGCATAGTCGCACGCAACGGTCGCGCGCACGACTGCTTGCAAACAAGGAAAACAGTGCGTACAGTCTGGCCTAACACCAGACTGCAAGGCGAGTTTCCTCGCAAAGCATTTCACGCAAATACAAGACAGCCCCTTCAAACAATGAAGGGCTATCGGCTCAGTTAGAGGTAAGCCAAACAGGCCATACCTCACCAAGCAAATGTGTATTAAGGCAAAGAGCCTGAGTTGTACGAAGCCGGCTCGTTGCCAGGCGTGAAATATAAGGCTCGTTTCCGAGCAACTAGAGGGGCGCCTTTATAGTAGGCGCCCGTGCTGGCAAATTGGACCGCGAGGGCAACAAGGACAGACTAAAATTGATTAGACTTAGGTTTGTCTCTGTCCTCGGGACCCCGAAAGGGAACAAATTGCTTCACGTCATACTTAAATGACTGAGTGCCTGACATCACTTCCAGAAGCAGCTCCCGATCGATGCTTCCCTTTGTATGCCCATCTGCGGTCATATCCCTAGTATCACACCATTGCACATTATGTACTATACCTATATCCATGAGCTCACGTATCCAGCTGATATGTCCAAGCAGAGTCCGTTCTGTAGGTATCTTGAGATCCCTGCTTGATAAAGATTTGTAGACGGACTCGGCGTCTATGGTAAGAGAGACTTTGATGGCTAGGCCCCCAACTTCACGCATGTCTCGTAGTTGTCGTTGAGTCAAAGCTCCTACCTTAAGCTCGTGGAGAGTAATGAGCGTAGGGTAACACTCATCAAGGTTATGTGCAGCTGCAAGTGCCTCCGCAGCATAACTGGACCTCACCTGTAATCGGTGTGATTTGCATAGTCCGTCACAAAGGTGAACGACGGACTTGCCTTGAGGCGAGTTTCCTCGCCGTAGTACATTGGCCCCGCGTATGCCGTAGCCCTTGGTCTCGTCATCCTCCTCCCCGGTAAGCTTCCGATACCCCGAATCGCTATGGATGTCAACTTCATTCGTCGGCTTCATCCGAGGGAAGGTGATACGTTTCGGGCTGCTGATCAGCTTTCGCGTCACAGCATTCAAACGTCTGACTTGCAGATTGGTGGGCTCTTGAATTTTCTGAAGAGAGACCACGTATACCATGAGCCAGATTTGGGTAAGAAGGGCATAGGCGAGGGCTCCTCGCAGGCTGACGAACATGTCGGTAATGAGTTTCGTGGCTTTGGCATCGGCCGCCGCTCCTGTAAGTTCTGGGTGTGTGATAGGACGTAGTTGTTTGATATACTCGTCCTGGTCCATGATCACATCTCCTTGATCATTCTTAGTGTAGCGAACGGCGCAGTTCGTATATGTGTGCTTGTTGAGCTTGCATTTGCCAAACACCTTTTCGACACGTTGTACATAGTCGTCTATATTTTTCTCTAGACCTGTCATGTTAATATCATCGACATGTTTTGCCGTCAGAAGGTCTTGGCTGAATTCAAATTCAAGATCGTAGCTGGTCGGTGTAAGTCCTATAGCTCGTGTGGTCGTACGAAGTTTGAGAGGGAACGCTCTTGGAGCGTCCTTTGTACCCGTTCCTGGTTTGAGGCATCTAAGACAGTGTCGACTTTCGTCGTAAGATGAGAAGCCGGGTAATGTACGAAGTACCTGAGCACTTCCTGGTGGAAGAGTAAAGCATACCATGCGAGTTTCCTCGCCGGTGGCATGGGCAAGTTCCTCATAGGTCAAACCCTTGAGGAACGCCTTATCGATATCCATGGATGCTAAGATCCACTCTGGATGGCATGCCGCTTCCCTTGCCAGGAATCGTTGGGACTGCCTTCGGGCGGTTCCCGAAAATGTTTCCACATCAAAAGCCTCAGTATCCATAAATCCACGAAGGACCAGTCTGAGGCGAATGGTTTTAACGTTCTCGGTACCCATCTTTACAACCTTCCACTTGTATACATATCTGGATGTCATGATGTTGGAAGCTTTGGATAAATCATACATCTCAAAGCATCGATTATCAATCTAGATTTTGAGCTCAGTATACAAAGCTTCACTAACCTCCTTTGGATGTGCTGCTATGTCGGCTTTGGTCAGTAGATCATCTTCTTTGACAGCCACAGCACGTTTAGCAGCAGAGGATACATATACTCTCATCGTTGCGACCATATCGGTATCGAGCTGTGCAAGTTGAGTCTGATCCAACACTATTTTTGACATTTCCGATGTAAAACATAATTCAACGTAAGGACCATATTCATCACTGTCAAGGGAGTAACTCTCGTCGGTTGTGGTTGAACAAAGAGAGACTAGATAGGATTCACTTGATTTCGGCTCGTCTCCGAGCATATCTGATGATATAATATCATCTTCGTCCACAAATGCTGAAACCAAAACACATTGGTCGGGCAGCATCGTTGTTGGGACGCAATAAAGATAATCATCAGTAATCGTCGTAGGATGAAGGTCCATACGTAGCTCGTCGTACCACTCTTCCAGCATCATAGCTTCGATATTGTGTTCCTCATTTTCCTCATAGATTGTCGACAGACGGCCTTCACTCGGCGATGAAGCATCTGGTGTGTCTGGAGAAGGCCTGTTTCCAGGCGACTCGTGTTCTCCAGACGTGTTGCTTGGATGCTGATATTTAGCCAAATCGTCGTGAAATCCTAAGGAAGGGACACGTGAAGTCAAGCATTGAATAAGTCTGGAGTGAGTGCTACCAGTGATCTGAGAAATGTTTAAGCCGGTGCCCACACATTCGTAATAGTGGAACGCCGGGCTGATGTCGTTGTCATAGTGG